GGCAATGATAAATTACAGCAATCTTTGAAAATGGTGGATATTTATGCCTGCATCAAATCTGGGTTTGATTTCTGCCATGACTGCCTACTGACTTAGTGGTTTGGGACAAGCTACTTAATTGTCATCCACCACCACAGTCAACAGAAGAACTGAATGAGGTAACTCACACAAGCCCCGTAAGTCCAGAGCCAGGCGTGTTGGAACATAAATGCAGAAACCTGATTATCACAGTTTTTATTCTCAGTGTGGTACCAAGCATGACAAATGTCCTGAGTCACAAAGTATGGCAGCAGTCTGAGTATCAGGTTTGAATGCAGCCAGTCAAGCAGAGCTAGGGTGTGACACGAGTCCCTATTCCTCGGGGCTCGCAGGAGAGCAGCTGTTTGTTGGTTTAGGATACCATCACCAAAACAAGAAACCTGGAAAACGCCCCCAAGACCCTACTTCTAAATAGAGACCCAAGAATACAGAGTCAGGAATGGAGACCAGCCACAGCACGCACCTTGACCTTGGAACCGGCATAGAGCCTCTGGGCCAGCAGTCGTCCCGCCTGGATTGCCACTGGGGTAAGCTCCAGCTTCCCCTCCAGTACATCGCCGATGGCATAGACGTACGGCACATTGGTCTGCTCCTCGTCGGTGACGGGGATCTTTCCAGTCCTGCAAACCCATTCGGCTATACTCATCAGTAACCAATGCTAGTTAAGTAGAACAAAGTTCCCTTTTTCCCAAGGACGCCCAAAATGTTAACTCTAGCTGAAGACCACATTCTGGCTACAAAAATCAAAGGGCATAAGAAAACAGTAAGTAACCCTAAAATGAGAAAACTAGAACAGAATGTTCAAGACTCCAGACGCTAAGATGCAACGACAAGGTTGCAAGTCATCACTTGTCTCTCAGCCTCAGTATCTCATCTATAAATGCGATAATGGGACCGAGGAGATTACAACCCTTAAAGGGTTGCTGAGGATTGAACAGGAAACGGTATGAAAACAGAGAGTACAGTGGTCTATGGCCCACATTGAGCGTCTCAATACTTGCTATCAGCATCACACAGAATCTAAGCCTTGGGCCCAACTGGAAGCAGGCTGGCTAAATCTGACCAGTGATTGTCCCAACTCCTTTGTCTCTTCACCTCGAGGGAAGGAATTCTCACATTAGCCCAGTTCTCCTGAATGGCAGCTTGCCATTCACAGAGGCCTTCCTTGGGGGTAAGGAAGGTGATCCTGGAAATGGCACGGGCTGTCCTCCCTAAACGCAGGCAGGCAGATGCTCAGCGAGCTCTCCAGGGGCCTGTCACCGCACAAACCTCAACCGAGGGAGAATACTGGGCGCTCGTCACGGTCACTAGGAATGTAGTGAAGTCCCTTCTGATCCCCAAACTTGGTAGGTGCTAAAGGTAGCTAAGTCCACACATTTAATGATCTACACACTAAAAACTACCGAATTGTTAAGCAAATATTTTGGGCATTATACAGTGTTTTTCCCACCAGTAGTTTGATCCCTCACTCTATGCGCACTATGTGCCTCACATGAGAAGATGGGAATTTGGTATTTGGGGTTGTACGTACATCTAAGAAATAAAATGCAAGCCACTATACTTATTAGATTTTAAAAAGAGAAAAGGAAACCCTAATGTGAGTGGCAGTGAAATGGTTTTCTAAGCTTAAAAGCAAAACTTCGTAATCATAGTACAAATTAACTTTAATGATCTAAACTCTAATACTGACACTATTGTAAATAACTGAAATAATATGTAATGTATTTCTTAACATACAATGTACTTTTGACTTACTTTTCATTTATCTGTACTCCCACAGCTTCTAAACCAATTTTTCTTGTGCAAGCATCTCTTCCTATCGCCAGTAATACCTGAAAAAATGTTAATACAGTAGTGAATATTAACAAAAAGAATTTTTGCATGAGTTTTTTAATCATATTTTCTTCTACCTATTGAAGCCAATCTAATTTCATGCTTCAGGCCTACAACAAAGTATTTTATTAAGAAAATAAGGCACGTTTCAACAAATTAAGTCTTTAAAAAAATAAGCCTTTGAACTCATATGATATAGCAGAAATTCCTTCTTATTACTTGATAGAAAAAGGAAGTTTATCCCTAAATAAGCCAGGTCAAGTTCAGAGTCAAAAATAGCATATGCAAACAATGAAGTGATTTTTTTAAATTAGTGGGCCAGGTAGACGCAAAAGGAATCAAAGGAATTATAGCTCATTTAAAATTCTGGTTACCTTTTCATAGGACAAAAAACAATATTTGGAAAAATCTGAAGCTACCTCTGTATCAAAATAAACTATAACATTGCCAGTAGTAGTTACAACAGTAATATTACATGTAGAGGGTCCGTGCATTCCTTACCGTATTATACTCTCCTTCAATGATTTCCTCACCCTTGGTGGACTGAGCTACCACTTTGAGACGGCCAGGTGTCCCTGCTTCAATTTGCTCAACCTACAAAATGACAAAAGTTTCACTCTGAAATGCAGACATGTGTCAAGGAGACAGGTGGTGGCTGTCTCCAGTGCATGCAAAGTGACAACATGGCTCTCAGAGGCCCTTGGTGGTGCAACTCCCTCACCTCAGCATCTCTAGGATGACACATGACTTTAAATTCCCTCCCTTCTCACTGATTGAGTTATCACTTCAAAGAGTTCCCCAACAGAATGCAGTCCAGAGAGTCAGTAAGAACGAGTACAGAGAAACCCACTGCAAATTCAGGGGTTCTCTGTGGACTACAAACGTTGTTTGCTCTCTCAGAACAGACACTCACTGCCATGAAGTTGACTGCCACGCAGAGCGACCCTACAGGACAGGGCAGAACCACCCACAGGGCCGCCAGGACGGCAACTCTCTAGGGCAGAAGGCCTGGTCTTTCTCTTGCAGAGCAGCGGGTGATTTCAAACGGCTGACCTGGCAGTCAGCAGCCCGATGTGTACCGACTACGCCACCAGGGCTCCTGATGAACGGACGCTAGAGTTGGTCAGTAACGACAAAGGCCACAAACTGGCGAAACATCAGTCTAAATACCAGAGGGCAGGGAGACATGGCTCCGGTCAACTAGGAGCTGCTGTCAGTTGTTAAGTATGTTGAAAGGTGCCAGCTGTGGCACTTGTGTGAAGGCAACTGAAACTGGAAAAAATCATTACACAGATGTCAACAATTACCTGGGTCACAACGACTTACACATATACCACTGGGCGACTTTAAACATGTCGACTGACCTTTGATGTCTGACCAGAAACTCCAAACTCACTGCCATCGAGTCAACCCCATAGGACAGAGTAGAACTGCCCCATAGGACAGAGTAGAACTGCCCTTCAGTGTTCCCAAGGCTGTGAATCTTGACTGGAGCAGAAAACCTCATCTTTCTCCTGTGAAGTAGCTGGTGGGTTTGAACTGCTGACCTTGGAGTTAGCAGCCCAACTCATAACCCACTGGGGCTCCTTTGGCTATCTTAAGTTTCTATAAAGCATCTACTGGTAGGAACCCAGAAAAGCACCAATAATTTCTAGTCAACCTGTAAAATACAATTATCATCAAGTCTCATTTCATTTTCAATTGAAATTCTCTTCCTTTCTGATTTAGCCAACCGCCACTGAACATGCTGGAAACGTTTTTTTCTGTCTAACTTACATGTTCCCTAAGATTAGAATCAGTCATGGCTTAAAGGTTTTTTTTCAGCATGGTGAGTTAAGGGCCTTGTCGACATTTATTTCTTCCTGCCTTACTTAATTCAGAATTACAGTCAGGACTTTTCAGTATTGAGAGCCGTCTCTCCTTGCAGTGTCTTTTTGTACAGACTATTCTCTAGTAAGAGCCCTGGTGGCATAATGGGTCATGAGTTGAGCTGCTAACTGAAAGGTTAGTAGTTTGAACCCACTAGCTGCTCTGTGGGAGAAAGATGACACTTTGTTCCTAACCAAACTCCATTCTGTCCTCTTCCATTTCGTAAACCCATTTAATTATTTATTTTTTTCTTTTTATTGGGGGCTCTTATAGCTCTTATCACAATTAATACACATATCCATTATGTCAAACAGATCTGAACATCTGTTGTCATCCTCTTTTTCAAAACACTTTCTTTCTACTTGAGCCCCTGACATCAGCTCATTTCCCCCCTCCCGCCCAGGAAGCACTAGAGCAGCAGTTCTCAACCTGTGGGTCAAGACCCCTTTGGGGGTCAAACGACCCTTTCACAGGGGTCACCTGATTCATAACAGTAGCAAAACTAGTTATGAAGTAGCAACAAAAATAATTTAATGGTTGGGGGTCACCACAACATGAGGAACTGTATGAAAGGGTCACGGCATTCGGAAGGTTGTGTGTGTTGTCAGTGCTATACTGCACCCTGACTGGGTCTCTCCTTCCTGTGGGCCTTCTGACAGGGGTGTCCAATTGACTACTGATGGGCTTGGGGTCTCTACTCTGCCCTCCCCCTTATTCCCATCGATATGATTTTTATTTGATAAATTCCTTGATTTTCATTTCAGCTCAAATGTCACATCCTCCAGGAAGCCCTCCCTGAAGCTCAGATTAGAGAAACTATGCCTGCCATGCACTTTCATAGCCCCTTCTACTCTTCCTTCACAGCAAAGTGCTGTATGTACTCAAGTATAAGCCCACCTGAACAGCAGCCGAGGCAGCTGATTTTACCACAAGAACTGCATTAAAAATGTGCTGGAAAACTCTAATACAAGAGTAAATGCTTTTTATATCACTACTTATGTGATTTCTCTAGCGAATGTAAGTTTAAAAAGCAAAGATGCTCGTACTTATATTCCCAGTGCTTGGCAAGATAAGCACTTAACAAACTTGGTGGCTTCAATGTGTTTCCCTGTGTACTGTGACAGCATCCAATCTCTTTCCAATAACATAACTAAAGCACTACAGTCCTACCACGTCTTAATAATTTCTATTTAGCAGAGGATCAGCCTCTTGGGTTGCCAGGCTTGAAAAACAGCCTCCATCTGTCCCCACTGCAGTAGTCTGAACTACCATATTCCTCAGAGGGACCCCACCCGGGCATACTTAATGTCTGATGGCGTCAAGGATCATCAGCTTGGTTGTAGAACAAGAATCAAGGACAAAACTGTACAGCATTATGGTCTTCAGGTACAAAAGGGGTCATCTACCTAATCCCTCACTAGACCGACGGAAGGCTGCATGAGAGAAGCTCCACCACGTGGGCAAGGTCACAGGCCTGTGACAGTGTGGCCGGGCCTCCGCCCTATAATACCATAGGCATTCTTCACCTGGGTTTACCCCCAGGGTAAGCCATGCAAAATGTTCTATCAACAGACACAGGTCCTCCAAAGGGTCAAACCTATGTGGCCCCAGCCTTATGATGTTCCGATGGAAGATGTTCTTTTTCTATCAATACAGCATATACTCCCAGTACTGCGGGTGTTTCCAATCATCATCTGATGGAAACATACTCAAAGGGCTCCAAAAAGTTTGTGAAAAACCCCATCTTTCCACCAACTTTTGAAGCTCCTCTTATAGCGCCAAAACAGTTACAGTGTTTAAGCCTGGATAACGCACAAGGATTGTGCTCCTTAATCCTCACAGTGACCGATGACTACAGAGCCTATAGCTCACCACACAGCCATACCTGATAGCCTCACTCGAAAACAAAGTTCCAGTATAGCTGCTGCATTTGCTCAAAGGATTCTTCCTACACTCCCTCTAGCGCTCGCATGGTATAGCATCAACACAGTGACAGGCAGTCCCCACTTACTTTGATCGGCACAAACTGTCTTATGAACTTGACACCATGCTCTTCCATGTGTTCACCAATCTTGTTGGCCATGTCCTGGTCAAATCCTCTAAGGAGAATGGACCGCACCATCACAGTGACGTCCAAACCAATACCGGCAAGAAATCCAGCGCATTCCAAAGCGACATAGGAGGCTCCCACCACCAGGGTCTTACCCGGGGAGTAGGGTAAGGAGAAAAGATCATCACTGAAAAGGTGTGGGGGGTTGGGAGGAGACAAAACATTTTTTTTTTAATTCATGTGCACAACGAATAAGCCAAAGTAGTTAACTTTGTTTTCATAAGAACCAAATACAGAAAATAGCACGAGCGTTTCATGATCCCTCAGATATGTACCCTTTCTTGCCACTCAGTTATTTAGAAGTAGCTTAAGGTACGTCTGAGTTTAGCACAACTAAGCCAATCTTAGACTGTGTTTCTTATTTAAAAACTAAAGTTGTCGAATGTTACAGAGTCAAACAAAACGATTCTGAACTGTGTGGAACAATCCTCCACTAACACAGTCAAAAACGTACATGTGTCTGTAGTTGCAAACCCAGACGACCCCACTCTCCCACCACACAGGTCTCTCTCAGGGGGAAGTCACATCTGGCCTGGCATAGCAATGATGGATACTGGGAAGAGGTGGGAGAGACGTCCTACACCAAGCTTTCCCAATATAAAAAATATCCAAGCGGGAAACCCAGAGTAAGGCTTCTAGTCCAGTGAGGAACACAAAGGAGCAAGAGGCCATAAAACACACTGCTGGGAAGGAGAGTGTAACACTATGACAAGGGTGCTGATTCAAGGCAGCCATGGCATCAGCTGCCATCTGAGCTGCCTGGCTCGGGGAAAGCCAAAATGGATAAAATCTCTCTCTCTCTCTCTCTCTCTCTCTCTCTCTCTCACACACACACACACACACACACACTCGGCAATGCTATCACGTTCTACACAAAATACAATCACCCTGCAAACCTTATTGGATTCCTGTATTTCACAAAGACTCCTGTGATGACATTGATTATTTCAATAGCAGTGAGCAGAGACTAGGACCTGATAAATCTAACAGCCTGCTATTAGTCTCAAGCAGTACTATAAACACATGCACACATTATCATTTGATTTTATATGCTGTATAAAGTATACTCACATATGTAAATAAATGTCAAGTACAAATATGAACATTATAAGCATAGTTCTATATACTGATAATAAGCGGTGATAATAATATTAGTTCAGGGTGGTGAGATCGATGACTAATGTCTATTAGGCTATCCTTTGCAGTACTGAATTTTCAAAACAAAATATGGGCAAGAAATGGACCGAATGGGTTTATGAGCAAAAGGGCAACAGCTAAGCTCCATAATAGGATTCTTCTTTTCCTTTCTTTTTCCTTACCTGCTGATGCAGTACTCTCTGTCTCCAGGTATGCCCAAGTATCGTGGCCTTTCACCAGTCGCGATGAGAAACCTCTCTGCTGAGTAAATTTTTTCTTTGCCTTTATTATTGGTGGCCTACAAAGGAGCCAATATGTCAACTTTCACTACGTTATCATTCCACAGACTTGCTAGCCTCAGCGTTTACAAAGGCCGTTCCCCACAGTATCCAGCTTGACCCTCTGCAACAGCTGGGTCCCGGTGGCCACTGGCGCTCTTAGGTACAGTCATTGTGGACAGTCTCACCTTGGTCCCATATAACCCAGTGAAAGTGCCAATGGCCACACCTGCCCCTCCAGCTCCTGGGTGAGTTTGAGCCCCCAGCTACCCTTCAATTAGCATCCAACACTTAAAATGTTGGACCATTGAACAACCAGAGCTCAACGGTGGCTATTGTTTTCATTATAATCATCTCCTTTTTTCCCTTGCTCCCAGTAAAAGTTTTTTTAAAAAAAAGCTACTCAGGGTTGTCACCCCATTACCTTAATCCTATGAGGCCCAATGAACTGCCCATAGGCATTCTCATAGGTGACCCTCTTCTCCCGCAGAGCGACCCGGTAGCCCCAGTTCAGCGAGCCGATGTGATTCTGCACAGCTTCCGTCATCTTGTCCCAGTCGTGTCTTACTGCAGACAGAAACAGGGCACATGTTTAGATTTTCTGTCAACTGCCCAGCAAGATCCTTTCTTGGTAACTCTTCCCATAGAATACCAAGAAGAGCGCTCTTGGTCTATAGAAGGTCTTGGTCAAGTCCTTCATTTTGAGCACATAAAACCCGGTTCACATTCAAATATCCTTTCCCTTTCAGAAAACAGCTGCAATAGTGAACTCATGCAAAGCTTCCTAGCAATTCTCAAGACTAAAACAGCAACACACAAACTTTTTCCTTCTTTACCTAGAAATGAAGTAAAATTGTACTCTGGAGTGTTAATACGAACTGCCGGGGGTGCTGGCTGTGGGCAGGCCCAGAACTCCATGCTGGCAACAAAGCTCTGCGGGCTTCAGATGCACCCAGGGTTGGAGCCACGGAGCTGGTCACAATCTCTAGCCCAGGGGCTGGCAAACGTCTGCACACATCTTGCCAGCCACATTTCTTTATGGTAAAAGCAGTCAGATTCACTTATTTACACATGCTCCGTGGCTGCTTCGGGCACAACAATGGCAGAGCTAGCAAGTTGCGGGAGGCCCCAGGGTCCACAAAGCAAAAAATACTGACTTTTGGACCTTTATTTAAAAAGTGCCACCATGGTGTGGTCTGAGAGGGTATTTCAGGAGTCAATCAATCCCACTGCCCGCCCACCCACCCCCAGCACCCACCTCACCAAACAGTGGGAGAGTATGTGATTCTACCATAATTAGCTAATCCTTAGAGTCTGGGCATTAACATAATCAACAGTGAACTCAAAAAAACCACAGAAGGGAGGAAAAAAGAAATCCTTGTTATTCATTAATATCTAATCATAAATTAGTGTTTACCAACAACTAGTAAAACATCAGACAGAAGGAAAATACACAGCCTGGATGGTCTGTTGCAATGGCCACACAGAACTCAGCGACAGCACTCATGATTGTGGGGCTATTACGGATGCTGGCTGGTCACACAGCGGGACAGATACAATTCTTCTTGTCTTCACTGTCTCCTCCCGGTCATGCTGGTGGTGCATTCTCCCACCAGGCTGGACTCCATCTGCACGTCAGAGCGTTTCACTCCACAATCAGAGGGGGTTCTTTGCTTTGTGTGGTGAGGTGAAACCACTTGGCATAGCTCCTCTGTCTGTAGTCTGTAACTCTCACCTGGTAACTGCCTGAGAGGCTGAGGGCAGGAGTCTTGGAATCTTCTAAGACTCCAGACTTTAGAAAAACACGTTTGATATTAAATGAAAAGTAAAACGGTCAACAAGTGAAGTATATCTAATTTGAATAGGAACATGCATGTTCAAAGCCAAGGAGTTTTAGCCTTGTTGGTTAATGTTTAAGAAGCTATTCAATAAAACTCAGAAAAAAAAGAAAGACACAAAAGTTTAGCTACTGGCCAGAGGATTATTTCCGCAAATGTCCCTGCCGCCACCCCAATTCTCATTAGTTAGGCGTGTATGAGAGCTTAAATTCTGAGCACCCAGTTTGCTGAGTCCCCATGTAGATTAAGCCTCCATAGAATTCCTGCTGATCATCAGCCTGTTGTGTTCCGTGCCATCGAGCGACACCTGGTGCACGACAGAATGAAACACAATGTGGTCCTACGCCATCCTGTCTTTCCCACACTCAAACCCATTGTTGCAGCTACTGTGTCAATCCATCTCCTTGAAGGCCTTCTCCAGGGACTGGCCTCTCCTGACAACATGTTCAAAGTATGTAAGATGAAGTCTCGCCAAGCTTGCCTCGAAGGAGCCCTCTGGCCATACATCTTCCAAGACAGGTTTGTGTGTCCTTTCAGCAGTCCATTGGACTTTGAATATGCTTCTCCAGCACCACAATTCAAACCCATGAGTTCTTCAGTCTTCCTGATTCAATGTCCAACTTTCACATGCATAGGAGGCGATTGAAAATACCATGGCTTGGGTTAGGTGTACCTTAGTCCTGAAAGTAACACTGTGGCTTTTGAATAAGCTAAAGAGGTCCTGTGCAGCACGTTTGCAGCAGGTAACACAGCAGGTCTTTCCATCTCTCGACTGGCGCTTTCATTCAAGCAAGACAAAATCCATGACATCAACTCTTTCTCCAGTTTCAAGATGTTACTTATTGGCCCACTTGTGAAGATTTTAGTAGTCTTTAAATTGTTATGATGAGAGGATACAACCCTGACAAACACCTTTCCTGACTTTAAACCATGCAGGATTCCCTTGTTCCATTCTCACAACTGCTTCTTGATCCACCTACAAGTTCTGAGCAAGCACAATGAAGTGTTCTGGAATAGTTTGTTATGATCCACACGTTTGAATGCCTTGGCACAATCAATAAGACACAAGTAAACATCTTTCTGGTGTTCTCTACTCTCAGCCAAGATCCACGGACATCAGCAATAATATCCTTTGTTCCACATCCTCTTCTGTATCTGGCCTGAACCTGTGGCAGCTCCCAGTCAATGTCATTGACTAGGAAGTCGATAATCTTGCCCTCAGGCAGTACACTGGAAAGAGGATTACCTCCACCCAGACAGGGGCAATCTCTCTTAGTGGCTTGCCTAGGTGTGTCCTTGATGGGGAGAGGAGAGTTGTGTAGTCTTGAGTCATGTCCTACCAGTCTTGCCAGGGACCAATCTTGTAAGGTTTTCTAACAAAATATACAAGTCCCAATCAGGCCCTGTGTCCAAATCTGCAATTCCACCTCTAACTGTGATGTAATGATCTGCTACCATTCATGAATTTGTGAATCACTTTTTTTCCATGTCTTATTTAATTAGCGGTCCTGGGGTGCTAAAACCTGGGATGCTAATGGCCTCCTTCATCTGGATGATTTGTCTTTGTCAAGACTCTCTGCCGTTCTGATTTAATAAATGTTCTCCTTAAATTACACTCGAGAGTGTGGCAAAACAGGAGTTAGGGTTTCATTCTCAAGGAAAGGGCAAGACCCAACATTAACTCCTCAGGAAACTGTGGCAGGCCTCATTTCACTCTTCTACCAGATAATGCAATTTACTTTACAAAGTCAACGATTATGTCACTTTAATTGTCTAGGACGTCTTAATCCAAAAAAACGCTCACTGCCATCCAGTCAATTCTGACTCATGCCAGCCCGAGAGGGCAGAACAGAACTGCCCCGAGGAGTTTGTGAGACGTAAATCTTTACAGGAGTAAAAAGTCTCATCTTCCGCCCTCAGAGTCTGGTGATTTCGAACTACTGACCTTCTTTCCAGTTAGCAGCCTAACTTGCAGCCCACAACTCTACACCACCCAGACTATCGCCCCTCTGCCACCAAAAACTCACTTCTTTAGTAAGAGAAAAATGCAACTGCTTCAAAAGAATGCAACTGTAATCCATACTTCCTTATGATACACTATCTAAATCAAGAAACTTTATTTTAAGGAATTCTGTTTTTAAATATAATAGCAAAACTACAATCTGAGTATCATATCTATTCTTATTTTACCAAATGTAGTTGTCTTGACACACAGTAACTATAATTATTTTATCTGTAAGAAATTTAAAATTATAAATCTTCCAGGTAACTCACTAGCCTCATAAAGAGATGAAACACTAAAAATGCATGCATATCCCCCCAGACCCAAAGGGAAAAGCAGCTCTTCTCCCCCATACCTGCGTCATCAACTTTCCATCCATAGTTGCGTGAGTCTTGTAGGGCTTGTCCTAACAAGGCTGCCTGGTGCATCAGTTTTTTGGGAATACAACCCACATTCACACATGTTCCTCCAAGACCTACAACAACATCAAGAAATAATAAGGATATATCACATTTTGTGATCTATCAAAAAAAAGGTCAACAGTGACTACACTTCTAAGATGCCTAATTTGTTTAATATAGCCAATTCTATCGATCCCTTTATTCCTGTATCTCCCAACCTCTCAAGTTCCATAAGAGCCTTATGTACAAAACACAGCAACATCATCGGAAAACAGAAATGAAGGGCATATTCAAACACTCCCATGGACTACAAAGATCCAATTTGCCTGCTGATAAAGATGCCAGAGATGCAATGTGTCTGTGCTGGTACCATCCTGTGCTTGCCCCTGGATACGTGCACAGAACTGGTGGGTCACATGTGGTTGGACTGCAGTGTGTCTGAATTGAATACGTGAATGCATTCTTCTCAGGAGATTAGTTCAGTTTTCTCTTGATACTCAGATGGATAGACTAGTTCCTTCAAAATACAAGAGAAATGGGGCATGGGGGTGGCGGTGGGCACACTGACATGTGTAAGAGTGTAGCATGGTACTTGCTTTTCTTCAAATAGGAATCTCGTCATTCTCTTCTCACTGCCTAGATGGACTAAGCTTCTCCTCTCCGTTGGCTGTCAAGGACACGACTCATCCGAGAACCTGCCCCGATTTTACCAATCCCATCCCTGTGCTCCCAGACTACTTGGTACAATCCATCAATGATGCATTCACGATTTAAAAGTTTACACTCCAAACTAAACCAAACTCACTGCCATGGAGCTGATTCTGACTTATAGTGCCCCTATAGGACAGGGTAGAACTGCCCCTGGGAGTTTCTGGGAGTGTAACTCTTTACAGGAGTAGGAAGCCCAATCTTTTCCCCACTAATTATACTAGGTAACTCAAATATTTACCATCATAAAAGCTTCTGTATAAGGTTTTTACTCTTAACCCTTTTAGCATCTTTAAATCTGATCCTATTTTAAGTTAGCTCAATTTTAAGAATTAAGCATTTAATTTCTAAAAACTTCAATTGGGATTTAGACGCCATTTTGGAACTTTCTTACAAATTCTCCTCTAAAATAAATTTGTAAAAAACTTACCCCATCTAGTTCCAAGTGGGGTTGGAGTGACAAAATCCAGGACCATCACCTTTTTGCCATACTTGGCCGCCTCCTGAAAAACAAGATTATTTTATATGTTAAAATGTGTTTCAAAGGGTAGCATGAAGGATTAGAAATGGATTGTTACAAATCCATGCTGTTTTCATTAGGTGGTAATGCCTAAAACATAACTAGTTACGAACACCTGGAAATTTCACGTGCGTAGATAATTAACAGAAACCCAGGATAAAAAACGAGAGGCACAGATAGTTTTAAGGGCCGTTTGCAGAGAACATACAGATTCAGGATACAAATACTATTGTAAAACTGGAAGAATCTGTTGGAAATCCTAAGATCCTCTTCTACGGTTCTAATCAAATGACGAGATTGAGCAATCGTGTTTGCCTTAAACAAGTGAACAGCAGCACACACAGGCCTGCCAATTGCTTACAGGCTATATTATATAAGGTAATAATTTTAAAAGTATTTTTAGCTTTGTTGTAATTTTATTTATAAGCATAATTTGGAAACAGTTTTTACAGTTTTTCTTCTGAAATTATGACATTTCCTAAAATTTTCATGTAGGTTCCCATGAAAAAGCTGACCCTAATCTAACCCCAAAACCACTGGCAGTGAGGCGATTCTAATTCATAGTGAATCCCATGCAGAGGGTCCCCAAGACAGTAAACCTTTTTAGGAGGAAAGAGCCTCATCCTTCTCCTGAGCCCTGGCTGGTGGGTTTAAACTGCTAACCTACCGTCCCACCAAGGCTCTTTGATAATATCTAACAAGGTTTGCAAATCTTTTTTTAAGGGAGTGAAAGAAATATTCAGAAGTTTGTTCTGTAGAGTTATCTCATCTTTAAGGAAATAAGCTTTGTATATTGGCAACTAGACCTACAAGGGTTTTTTGAAAGAAATGAGTGTTATGTGTTCTTCAAAAATACTAATACTGTACTCAAATATACCACATGCTACTCCTGAACCACTTGCAGCAAAGTGAGGCTTGATGCTACACAAATGACATTCACTTTCCGGCCTGCTTCATTTCAATGGGCTTTTCCTGACTCACTGCATACCTTAGGGCAGTATCTTTAAAACAGCCTATTGGGTAAGGGTGACAGACAGGCCCTTATGTCCCTACAAGCACAGTGTCTCTCTCTCAGACTCCTAACCCACTGCCCAGTCAATTCCAACTCATCATGAACCAAACAGGGCAAAGCAGAATTGTCCCATAAGGTTTCCAATGCAGTAATCTTTATGGAAGACGACTATCATAGTTTTCTCCCAAACAGCAGCTGCTGAGTTCGAACTACCAACCTTTCAATCAGCAGCCAAGCACAGGTCTCCTGCTTCACTCCTAATCTCCCCTATTTATGTATCCTCATCCCCATCGCTCCCAGGCCTGGAGCTAGTGGTTATTCTCTTAAAACATCTTATATACAGACAAAACACGGCTTCCGTTTTTAAATAACTTTGAAAAAATCCAACTTTCTCCATCCTTTGTGGACCAAAGAGGCTTCAAATAGGGAAATAGCTACCTTGGGGGGAAAAAAATTACAAAGAAATACATTTTAAGTCAACATGTCCCCCGTTACCCATGAAAAATCAACCAAATTTGAAATGAATAGAAATGTGTACCAAAACTCAGGGCCTGGTACTTCTATATAATGAACATGCCACCTTTCAATTTGGAAGAATGACTTATAAAATGGTCCCTTATGTCCTGTCAAGTTATGAGCAAAAAGCCACATTCGTGAACTGAACAGCTGCAGAGATTTTCAAATTGAGCTGTGCTGGGATGTGACTATCCCAAGCATGACCCGGATAAAGAGAACAGAAGGAGCCTCACCTTGGCAGCCGCCAGCCCGCCTGAGCCACCGCCAATGATGATCAGGTCATAGTCATAGGCCTCGGGAAGACCCTCAGAGCCGTTCATACTGAGCAGCTTTTGAAGTTGGCCCTCTTGATAAGCCTAAAGAAGAAAACCCAAAGCAATTTAATATGAAAGCAGTAATGAATGTCTCGACACAGGCTACGACATCAAAGGCCCCTGAAAACATGATAAATGAAAAAATCTGACACAAAAGATCAAATATCACATGACCCCACTTTTACGAGAAAACTGATAGATAAATGCGGAAAGGCAAAAGTTTACTGTTGGTTATAAGAGGCTGGGGTGGGGCTATTACTTAAGGTAATGAGGGTCTCTTGATGTGGAAAAGCATTTGAAAATAGGAAATAGTGGTGATGGTTGCATGACACCGTGACTAATTAATGTCTGAAATGCACACTTGGGAATGTTCAAAATGGGGAAAGTTTTGTTAAATATATTTTACAACAATAAAGCAAGCAATAAAAAAGCTCTGTAGGAGAATCTTCCTTTATAGGAAGGAAAAAGAATTTTCAAAGGAAAACTATATACTCTTCCTTTGAGTAATGCTCTCTTTTGGTCATGATCCGGTGCCCCATCCCTCTTCACACCACTGGCTAACTTCTACATAAGCAAGATTCTGACGGCTCAATAAAATTAAGATAGATTTTAAATATTGGTTTTAAATTTTCTGGAAAACCCAAAACATTGTCTTGTCCTTTTTAATGAAACCACTGACAAGAGTCTAGCTATCATCTTTACTTACCAGCCAGAGGCCACAGATCAGGTGGATGAAGACCTCAGGCTAAGAGTTGGGCCTTGGTTGACATGAGCTAGCACACCCAATACAGCAATTTAAACAAAACTGTCAAATATTTAAGACCAAAATAAAAAACTAGAATTTCAGAAGAAAACAATTAGTTGACATTGGCCTAAATGGAAAGCTAAATATAAAAGTTGTTGCTTTTCCCCAGCATTTTAAGTAACTACAAGTCTGTTAAAAGCTCATATCTTTAACCTGCGTGATAAAGTCTCTTACACTGATTGAGATTTCAAAAAATTCTTACGAAGATGAACAAAAAGATACTGGAATTTTTCCACATTTTGAAGACAGCCTGCATGGAGCGCTTATTTGTATGTATTTGGCACATAGCAAGCAGGTTTTAGAAAATTGATGTTAGGTTAACATCATTCTGGTTATATATTACCTTTTAATAAAAAAAAAATCTGTGCTAACAAGTGTAATTATCTTTTTTTTAAATCAAATCTTAACTTTAAAAACCAACATAGCCCCGAACTTACCGGCCCCAACTGTGTATTTCTCTGCTGCCTACCATCAGCAGAAACAGCAGCGGGAGCGGGAGCTTGGGATGCGGAAGGGGGTGCAGTAGAGGGAGGAGGAAGCACAGCACTGTAACTGCCCCTTGGTAGCATGATGGGTACACGAGATGGTTCAGGGACTGGAGGCAAGACCCCTGGAATCCAGCCACAATGAGGACAAGCCTGCATCACCCTGACAGTCTGGACAAAAGGGCAGGCAGGGGAGGCTGGTAGGCACAGCCAGTACTCATCAATTGGCATTATGACAGAAACGCCTCCTTCAGCACAAGACACTGTGGGAGGAAGAACAACTGGGTAGTAATAACCATGTGAAACGAAGGATCAGTACAAGCTTCAGGTAAATAATCGCACTCCCCTTCCTTGGGCTGACTGGCTGGTTTGAAATAGTATGTGCGGCTAGAGTTCTTCTGGGAAAAGTACAGGCAACCATTTTTTTTTAAATCTCTGGCCTTTTTCTATCAGTACTGTAGCTACATAGCACAGATGTTAACAACTCTCTCTGGCCTTTTTCTATCAGTACTGTAGCTACATAGCACAGATGTTAACAACTCAGTCGCAGGCTGTAAAACTGTAAATGGAAACCTATCGTTCTTGGAACCCTCCTTCCCAACAAGAAAATGCACTCGAGTTGTAAGCCAAGATTTATTATCTGTTCTTTACTGAAATTCTGTATCCAAACCTGGTTCTCATGGTTCAAGGCAGAAGCCTAATTTTATCAGCTAGTGCACAAATTCCACAGAGTAACTGCCTGGGATGAGACTAGATCTGAGGCATTTCACTGACATCTGCTGCTTCCCTGTACCACCAACCTATCTGAAATGTCCTCTTCCCAACAAATCCTGACCCAGCAGGTAGACTGGCACAAGAGGAACTCTAGTGGGTTACACACTGGGCTCGTTTCTTCTAGGAGAAATGTGGACGGTGATCACCACCATGACCCATATTTAGATCTTCAGTATGTGCCTCAGTAGTGGGAGCCAAGGTAATATTTTAATTATTATTCAGTTATCAAGTATACTCTGGTAAATGGTTTCTACTTCACTTAAATTACTTGAAAAGGTCATCCCTTATACAGCCCTGTCTAAAGTAGCCCCCATTCCCCACTAGCTGATCCAGTTTTCCTCGGAGCAATCAACAGGAACACTGCTGCCTGTCCTTCCTTCTGTGGCAGGCTGAAAAAGTACTCTAAAGAGTAGACTGAAGCCCACTATCTCCAAAATCTGTGATTGTTACTTAACTATCCCAGTAAAAGGCACTTTGCAGATTAAAGATTTTACTAGGGGAAGGTTATTTTGCACGATCATCCTAGCGGGCTCAATGTTATCATGAGTATTAATTTGAGGGACTCAAGGGGAGATCTGATTACAATGGTAAGAGATGGAAGGAAGCAAGTAATTGCAATGGTGTGAGAAATATGTCACAAGGCAAGGAAAGCTGGCAGTCTCCAGAAGCTAAACAGAGAAGGAACCTCTAGGAGCCAGTCCTATGAGACAGATCTTGGATTGCCGGACCTCCAACTGTAACAGAATCATTATTTTAAAGCATTATATTTGTTATAGCCGCAGTAGGAGCTCCCCTGCCCACCCCCTTACACACACATACACACACACACACACAACCACTGCCATTGAGTGGCTGGCTCACAGTCACCCACAGTCACGCTATAAGACAGGGTAGATCTGTCTCAGGAGGTTTCCAAAGATATCCACCTGTATAGAAACAGACTGCAGCCACTTTCTCCCACAGTGGCCAGTGAATTTAACAGCCAAGAGCTTAATCACACCACCCCTAGCTTCTCACAGCAATAGGAAACTAGCTTTTCTTGTTAACGAGTTTTCTTGCCGTGTATAAATTCCATGAGAAATGGGCAATTTTCTGTCCATCACTTTATCCCTAAGGTGTATGGCAGTGGACACGCAAAATATTTTCAGTTAATGAAATGTCATCACCAAGCACTTCATACTGGAGTCCCCCAGAACAAATGCAAGGTGAGATTATGAGAAAAGCAAGGGAAACGATGAATCACTATCGAGCTGCGACCATGAGTGATCAAAACGAGCCAGATTCAGTGCTAGATGTTTTATTTACATGATCCCATTCATCTTCTCAACAAAGTCTTCTACGCAAATGTCATTCTCGTTGCATATAAAAGACAACATAGGGGCCCATAGAGATTAAGTAATTTGTCATGACCCAAGAATGGAAAATCTAGATCTGCATGATTACTAATTGTCTACTTTTTCCACTATACTACAGTCATTAGCTGACAAGCCAAAGTACTTGTCACATAAATTTTCTAAATGAAGCTCTACTTACTGCAAGTTGAAACAGGTATTATTCACATAATATAGGTCTCATTTTAAAAGTCTGTATTATTCTAAGCTTCAATGTCTTTCATGAAGCCTGCGAAATTTAAGCTACTGTATTATAATGCAAAACCAACAGATTTAGAGTTTGGCCCATACCAAATCTCTTACCTAGTCAAAATTCTGCCTCTCCATTGGTTAATTCTTCTTTTTTTCGGCGTCAAAATAAAAAATTCACTTATATTGCAAAATGATGAGACAATTCATGTTTTAACAACAAAAAATAATGAAGTTTTAACTTCAGACCCCCCAAAATTACCAACCCCAATACCATTACATTCTCTAATGTTTTCGATCATTGTTAAGTGTGGAAAACTCCTAGAAGCGAAGCTAAGGCACTGAATAGGAGAATCTGGTGGAAATTAATGAAATAAGGCAGGGTCATCTTTTTGTACCAACAAAGAAATCCCTTTCCTCTGCTGGAAAGCCCAAGAAACTTGGTTGGTAGACATGCTAACTAAAGTGAAGGTCAGCGCAATCAAACAGAGCTGACTGCTAAATCAAAGGGTGAGATACTGGCAAAGATCAGCCTCCCCTCACAAAGAAAGGGGAAGGAATCAGTACTCTAGAAAGTAACTGAAAGTTGTTTCAGCTAAAAATCCCCACTATTTCTGGTTAGGATGCTTCCCTCACACATGCGCAAAATCCTTCCCCAATCTTGGGGTCATTCTTAGTCCTTCCTTATACCACAATGGAATTAGTGCAATATTATCCAAGCGTTACAGCTCCTCCTGTATGCAGATACTTAGCCACTTGCCAAATAAAAGTGATTAATGGCAAAACTCCATAACCACAAAGGATTGGGCTCTCACTGGGATCCAGAAAAGCAGCTTATGGGTATGGTCCCTGAACCTTTCCAAAACTGTTCTTGTAATGACCTCTATTTTCAACAGTAATTTCCAAAAAAAAAGGTAATTTAGATTCTTAATGTGCAAGTAACAAAAGTAAATCTATATCCATTAATGAACATTGGGATAAATTGATCACTTATTTTTATTTAAACAGAGATTTACCCATACTGTCTCCCACACAGGTAAAGATCTATTAAGAAATGCTGAATTGGGACAAATGTTCAAGGTTGCTCACGTGATGGATATCGCTGGTTCAGGATGACACTACATACTGGCAGAAATTACAAATAAAAAACTAAGCAGAGCCAGAGAACATAAAGGCAGAAAACGTACTTAACAAAGGAGATAAAGCCTGTAACTGGATGCTAGATGATTTTGTCATTTCTTAACACACACTTAATGCTCTAATGTACTAATACTTGAATATAGACAGTTTTACTCCGTGGGATACCAAAATCTTTTGGGATACCTAATCTTTTCTGTAATGAAGCCCGTTTTAAAATTTTATTTTATTTTTGAACTGCAGATACAGGCCTGCTCATGTCCGGACTAACCATTTTTCTTACTCACCTTGCGCCCAACCTGCATAGGAGCCTTTATGTTCTATCAGCTCCCAACAACAGAGGAGATACTATGAAACTCATCGAGTTTACCATTCCAGATCACAACTTTATGATTAAGAAAAATACACCACACAGTAAAGCATTTCCTGATGTTCTTGAAAACAGTTGGGATTTTTAATTTTTTTCCTTCTCTCACAAGACACACACTACCATGTGCCTGTTTGGATTGTACTCGCCATTTTGGGATACTTTAGAAAAACCACAAGATGTACCCATTCTAAGAACAAAAACGTTACTATGAGCTTGTGATCATAGCCTCTGAAATTTCAAAAGTTGCCACAATATTTTTCCAGTCCTGTAAACTCAAAGAGATGACTCCTTGCTTCCTGCCATGATAACCAGGATCGTTTTCCTCCTCCATCTGGTTCATATTAATTGGCTCGAGTATTGGCAACCTGTCTTGGTCAAGCCTTATTCTTGCAAAACCGTCCCTAATGATGAAAGAAACATAAAACATATTCTCCACAGTGCGAGAAAAAGAGTTTGGATCAACCACAAACTCAAAATAGGGCACAGGAGTATCCGGGTACTGTCTGAAGTAGGTCTGCAGCAAGCCCAGGATTCTCTCTACTTCCATTTCGGTGGTCACTTGATCACTGCACAGGTCCCCTGCCCTCAGCTTCGTGGGCATGTCTCTAGCTCCCTCGTCGGGTCTCTGAACTCTCTTCCGTTGGCGGGGCTTCCGGGCAGAAGGCTCGGGTCGGAAGGACCCGAAAACGAAGTGGAAGGTTTCGGCTCGCAGCATCCAGGGGGTGGCTTTCCGGTGCACTTGCTCCCAGAAGGTGCGTGCGACGAGTTCGTCGCAGTGGCCTAAGTCGGGCCTTTTCTCTTCCAGCCCGTGGAGCCCCGCGAACACGAGCAGTAAGCCGCGGAACGCCGCCTGATTGAACACGCACATATCGGCGTTCAGCTGGTGGGCCTTCTCTTTACCCACGTCGGAGGCCAGGACCAGGAACTGGGCGTCGAGGGCGGCTTCCCGGGTGCGGCTGACGCTGTCGAAGAGCTCGTCGGCTTCCTGCAGGGCCTCGGTGAGCAGGTCGCTGGCCGTGTGCACGATGTCGTCGCGCTGCTCCTGCACCGTGTGCATGAGGCGGCGGTACTGCTTCCGGATGTGCCGGCACTTCTCTTCGTCCACCTGCAGGCCTAGGAGAAGGACAGCTAAGCTCCCTCGCCACCGCCCCGCCCCCCGGCACCTCCATCTTCGGGGCTCTTCCTCCTCCACCTCCTCGGCTCGCTTGGGGGATACTCACTGAGGGGGATGCTCAGGACTCGCTTCTTTCGCTTCTCTTTGCCTCTCCTCAGGGAGCACTTTCCACCGGGCATGTCAGCAACCATCCGGGACGACGGCGATGAGGACGACGACATGAGCCCCAAGCCGGCTTCAACCGCTGAGCTCTGGGCGCACGAAGCACTAACCGTCCGGTCCAGCCCGCCCCCGCCTCGCTCGGCCATTGTAGCGATTGACGTCAGCGCCCCGCCCACCTGTCCTGGCGCATGCGCAGGAGGCCACGCGCCCCCCACCCCCTGGCCCCAGCCGCAGGTGGCCTCGCAGGCCCACCCACATCACAAAGGGGACCAATCACACGTTTGACTACCTTCTCAGGGAACGCCTTGTATTTCAGCATTTACTCAGTGTAATGACCCACGCAAGAAACACATTTGAGCCTTTTTAGGGCAAAATTGGGGGCCAGGGGGCGGGCCTGATGGACCACAAGTTTAAAACCGTCGCTGTGAAGCACTGCTGTCAGGATGTCCCTTGCTTTTCTTAATACTTTGATTAAAAGTGTGTTCATTTGTTTTTAAGTTGTATTTTAGGTTCGTTCCTTAATGGGAAAAAGTAGTGTTTTTGTTTGTTTTTCTTTAAGGAAGGAACCTAAAGCATGATCAATTGGGCAGCACAACTCTCAGGGTCATTGGTAAGGGGATGGGGGAGTCAGGGTTTATTAGCAACGGAGCTTGGAAGGGACAAAACCATATATATGGAGCTAATGAACTTCTTCAGGCCTTCAAAAGCCAAACCCCAACCTCAAACCCTATCCATCTGGAAGCTCTTGGAAGCAGGTAAGGGGGCATTGTCCACTTGTCCTGTGTGACTAGCAAGTCGGCAATTTTACGAGTGATTATTGGTTCAGCACCCAAGGTTAAAGACTGGCATAAGGCAGAACCCTCTGCTAAACAGCTGGGGGTTTTAGGGAGCTTGGGAAACGGTTAAGTGCTGGGCTGCTAATACAAAAGGTGAACATGTGAAACCCACCAGTCACTGGGGGTGAAGACCAAAAAGTACAAACCGACTGATCCCTGTGGGCTTCTGACAGTAACTGTTGATGGCAGTACAAAGTCCAGTCTTTCTCCCACAGAGCTGGTGATCAAGGGGTTCGCAGCCCAACTCGTAACCAATCCACCCCCAAGGCTCCAAGGGAAAACATCTGGCGATTTGCTGTCACATTGGAGTTACTTCCAACCCTATAGTCCAGACTCCCGCAAGGTTCCAAGGTGAAAATCTTTCTGGAGCAGACTTCCACAGCTTTCTTCCTGGGAACAGCTGGTGGGCAGTGGAGCACTCAACAGTGCACCACCAGAACTCCCCGCCATCCAGATGGCAGCCCAGGAAACCCTTTGGGAGCAGTTCTGCTCCCAAATTTAATGTGGCGCTTCATTGGTATCGGCTCCACCACACACAATGACAGAGTGCGAGCAAGCTAGGAAGATTTAAGCACTAATCTGTTATACCAGTAAACAAGGGAAGCTGCAAACTGGGTAACTACGATGCAGTGAAGTCACCGGTTGGTCAGAGCCATAAAGCAGCCCTCAAAACAGGTGAACCACACTGCAGGCTTCAAAAAACAATAAAAGTAAATGAGCATCTAGGCTAGGTCCTTTTTCTTTGGTTACCAGCACTAAATGTCTTGCCAACTGCACGAACAGCAAAACATGGTATTGGATTATTGCCAAGTCCCTATGGCACCTCTATTTGTCCACAATTATTTAAGTAGGAGTAATTTGGGAAGAAACATAAGCCTTGATGGAGAACACTTCCCACTGTGTGTGTGTGCGCGCACGCACCCAAGTGTGAGCATCTCTACCTCTTCTAGTGTTAGCTTCTCAAAGGCATTGGCTGAGTTTTAAATTTTCCAAGCACAGCTGTTTTCACGTGGATGCTCTCAAATAAGCACTAACTGAACAAATGACTGTCAATTAAAAACTTGGTTCCAACACCTACTAAAAATCTGTGTGACAAGAGCTTAACTTCTAAATCCCTGGAGCGTGTGGAAAGCTGAGATCTACAGCAATAGCCCTCACTCCATTTTGCGTCTTGACATAACTTCACACTCCATTTGATTTCTTAATATTACGGCAATAACAAGGCTATGTTTAGATCAGTCTGGGCAAGCCCACCACGGGGCAACTTGTCCTGGCAAAGAGTGTAGCGGGAAAGCAGCAAAATGCTAACAGAAGGAACTAGAGAACCTCTCTGGACATCCTTAATTGATTTTGCCATCCACAGTCAGGTGGATTTTACATAACAAGTTTAAGGTTGGGGTCCTGTGATTGTAAACTACTTTTTGATGATGATTCTAAGTGGCTTGATCATAATTCATACCTGACCACCAAATGGCCAGGTTATTAAAACCCCAGAACCTGCAACCTTTTGACCTGTAATTACGTAGATATCCCAATCCTGTTCCTTTCCCTACTTCAGTAGTTACCAGCTGCTACAGAGATGAACAGCCTGCCAACCACGACCTTAGAATCAATTTCTTTGTTCTCTACAATATATTACCGAATACCGGGCTTGGATTCAGGAGAGACCACCGGCCTCCACGCTGGGTACATGCTGCTGTTTCCCACATGAAGATGACTATCTTTTAATGTTTACTATTTAATAAAAGGAGCCCTGGTGGCCCTATCAGATAAGCACTGGACTACTAACCTCAAGGTCGGCAGTTCAAACCCACTAACCCTGTCTTGGGGGAAACATGAAATTGCCTGCTCCTATAAAATGAATAGCCTTGGGAAACCCTACCTAGGGGTGCTAGGAGTCAGAACCAATTTGATGGCAGTGGATAGGTTTTTAAGGCTTAATAAAACGGTCTCTCTAGAACACTGTGGAGGTCTGACTGAGGTCACACTGGAACAAAAATTAGGCTGACACCTTTAATAAAGGAGGGAAGTAAAATCAGTTTGCTTTTCAGAAAAACAAAGGAACAAAGAAAAAACAAAGATGATCAAAGTTAGAAGCCAGGACCATTAAAGAGCCCTACTCCAGTATATCTGGTAAATTATAAAATAATGTTTCCATCTGTTTTAAATCTCAGGCTGAAAACATATAGTTAAGAATCCTAAGACCGTCAAACCAAAAATATTTATTCTTTGTTGACCAGATTCTTGGGAGTTGACAGGTCCATCCTTTTGACGTCCACTTGAAGTACAATAAAAGCAATTCACTAAGGAAAGAAACTCCAAAAGACTCCTCAACTTTCCCCCGCAGCTGTTCTACTGTCTCTGGCTTGGCAGAGGAACAACAGGCAGGCACCAAGGTGTTCCAAACGGAGCCTTTCATCTCTGGATTTCAAAATACTTCAGAACAAAAATTAATTCTCCAAACATACCTGAGAAAGTATCAGTAATATAATTTACAGGGATTTCTCAGGAGATAGCAGCCCACACAATGTGCTTGGGGCCATGGAACACAGCCAGACAAACATCTTATTATGAAGCTGTGATTTCCGGAGCGGGAGTTCCTCTATGCTAGGTCCCTGACCCTGAGAACTTAGATGAACCTCAAAGTCCAAATGGTATTTTATTCTTTGGAGCACAGGGTTTCAGATGTGGCTACAAAAGAAACAATCTCAAATCCAATGATCAACTCCACCCCACCTCCACCCCATCATAAAGAATGGTAAGTCTATGCTTCCGAGTCCTTAAATCAGTGAGCAGCTCAGTCCTCTCCACCACCACCACTTTTATTTCCTTGACAGCTTGCTTTATCCGCTCAGGTCAGCCATGTTCTCTTTCGGTATTCATTCGTGTGCAGACTTTCTGGCATACCTATCTATCTCAATTAACTTCTGCCACCTGCACACGCTTGTCCACCACCATGTCGTGCTGTAGGGGCTTGTGTCTTGCTGTGATGCTGGAAGAGATGCCACTGGTATTTCAACTATCAGCAGGGTCACCCAAAGGGAACCAGTTGCAGTGGCGCTTTCGGACTAAGAACTAACGAAGAAGGAACAGACTTGCTCACTTCAGAGGAAGTGGATGCTGAAAACCCTAAGCACAGCATCGAGAGACGATCCGACACAGAAGGTCTAATGACTAGAAGCAGAACACGGTCAGAGATAGTGCCAGAAAATGAGGCCCTCAGGTGAGACGGCACTCACAACGTGCCTGAGGAAGAGCTGCCTTCTCCAAGCAGAGAGGACCACAACATGGATGGAGTAACGCTTGTGGGAGAGAGCCTTCGGGATCTTTATTAGCTGATGGGGTGCAACTCAACAGACGAAACAGGCTACAAAAATCTAATAATAACGGAAACTTGGAAAAATGGAAGTCATAAAAAATGAAACTGAATGCATAAAGATGGATATCTTAGGCATTAGTGAGCTGAAATGAAGTGGTCTTGGCCATTTTCAATCAGAAAATCATATGATTTTCTAAGGTATGGATGACACAAAGAAATGGTGCTGCAGTTATTGTCAAAAAGGACATTTTAAGATCTGTCTAGAAGTACAATGCTGTCTGTAATAGGATAATGTCTGTCCCCATCTGAAGAAATCCACTCAGTACAACTATTATTCAAATTTATGCACTAAACACTAAAGGTATTGACAAAAACACTGAGTCATTCCACATCTTCAGTCTGAGATTGATCACACATGCAATCAAGATGCACTAGTAACTACTGGTGATTGGAATGTAAAAGCTGGGCACAAACAGGAAGGAACGGCTGGAACATGTGGTCTGGTGGTAAAACGAAGCTGGAGATTGCAGGGTAGAATTTAGGAAGACCAACAACACAAACAGTGACTGCACTTGGACTTCGCCAGATTCATACACGGAAATCAAATTCACCATCTCTGGGGGAATAGACGACGGAGCTGCTCACTATCAACAGCTAAAAACAGGCCAGGGACTGACTGTGGGACAGACAATGGTTCATATGTAAGTTCTAGCTGAAACGAAAGAAAATTAAAACAAGCCCATGAGAGTCAAAACAGGACCTTGACTCTATGCCACCCCAATTCCAGGCACATCTCAAAGGCAGATTGTATGCACTGAACACCAATGACAAGACTTGATGAGCTGAGGAAAGACATCAAGAACATCATACATGAAAAAAGAAAAAGGTCTGTAAGAAGACAGGAAA